GACGGAACAGAAAATTTTACCAAGTGCAATAACTATAAATTTTGTAGCAAATCAATTTGTATAATTACATATGTACATGTTGTGCATCATTCAAAGGAAGAATAAGTTTGATTGGAAGGAATGAGTTTGATTGATTGTATCCCACTAATCAGTTTCTTTCATATAATATTAAAAATAAAAGATATGTATTGAGTGAAAGGAATAATATTTACAAATGAAATAACTTAACATTATCTCTCGAGGAGAGCGAATTTGTTATATTTAAATTAACTGGGTTAAAGTGATAAAATACTCGAACTTGAAAGCGTTCACTTAATTATCTATAAAATGTAAGAATTTTCTTTATAAAGAAAATTCTCCATATTTAGAAACGAAGAAAAAAAAAAAGAGAGAAATTAGTCTAAATATAATCTTGTGTAAATTATTTTTAATCAATATTTTAGATAAAGGAATTAATTTGAATTCCATATTGTTGTGTCCACTTGAGAGATTTTTATTGCCTATGATTTATGAATAAGTTTTATATACTCGTTAACATTATAGCGTTGAAAATTGCATACTATGGATATGAGAATTTCTTATGTTGGGTTCACACTGTTATACGTAAAAGTGTTCATACTGTGAATCTAGTTTGCAAACTATATTCGTAAACTACATAGAACTATATAGAAACCCATTTTATGATTGTGTAAGCAGAAACATGTACATGAGTACATTTCGAGAGTGAATAGTAGATTATTTCTGTGCTTTATCGCCCTTTAGTGCGAGTATTTTTTTTTAAACAATTAAAAAAATAAGAAATTGTTTTGATGAATTTTAAATGTTGAAGATAAATAGTTTAATTTTTTTTTTTTTTTTTTTTTTTTTGAAAATCAGCTGCAGGTTCATATTGTATTTTATACAATACGATGTAATACTAGAAAAGTTTATTATGAAATTTAAAGTTTATATAATTAAAATATACCAGATTATATAATATTAGATATTACAGAGAGTAGAGTATATAATATGAGTATATTATATTGCTTTTCACTGCAAATATTGGTTACCTTAAAATTTAATAAACCTTTCACAGGAGAATATTGCTCAAAATTTACTTAATCAAATTACATTTAATGCTGCTTGCTTAAAGCTATGCTGTTTATTGGAGGAAATGTGAATTTCAAAAGACAAAGGGGGCCAGTTCATTAGATAATCTTCGAATAAGAAAATGTGTGAAAGGGAGAGGAGAAAGGAAAAAAAGAAAAGAGAAAAAGCAAGAAAAGAAAAAGAATTAAATACGTGCAGCTGTTACGTTGCCTTTGCTTGATGCATCTGCTGTAATAACTATGCAGCTGCTCTTGGCAGATGTGTAAGCATAAAGCTGTTTCGCATGGTACACGTGGCATTGAAAAACGAGGAAATCG